CAAAAGAAAAGAGATAATAATAATAATAGATATAATTGGTGAAGTTATTCAGACTAACAGACAGAAAATGAAATAAGAAAACGTACAAACAGTCAGCTAATTATGTTTGAAGAATAATGTGAATAGTATGTATCTCGGCAATAATGATAATGATAATAAGTGTAGTTAGAGTTGTGACGAGAGTAAGACGGAAGAGAATGTAAAGAAGTAAAACGACGAATTTATTTTTCTACCCCTGAATGGTGTATAGGAATTTAAGGGGATAGGCCATTTGGACGCAGTCCTTGTGTCGCTGCATGATTGTCCAGCCTTCGCTTAAAGGCGTCCACAGACGGTGCCATAGCTACATCTGCCGGTAAGAAATTCCAGGGACGGCAAACCTGCAGTGAAAAGAAGTGGGAGCGCATCCGAGTCCTTGCTCTCTGGTGAGTTAACATTCACAATGAACCACGGAAAAAGATCACTCATTGACGTCAACAGGTGTTGGACGACGTTCATCCCTACTCCAGAAGCGCGAAGGTTTGCATTCGACTTCTGTGGAGATGACATTTCCCACGGTTGGACAGTGCGTGACCTAGAGCTTCTCCCGGAACATGGATTAGACACGAGTGCTTACATTGAGAGAGACCCATTCAAAGCCAACAAGGCACGGCTTTTCGTGCACAAGCAATTAGAAGCACTTACACCCGAGCTTTACATACAATTGTACGAGAATTACGCGCGGCCGCATGAGGTCCATAAGGCTACTTCATCACTACTCCTAAAGTGAGGTGAGAATCACATAGAAGAGGGAAAATTGGAGCGACTACAACTGCCATCTGCCTGAAAGGCCTAGCGACCCGCTATAACAGATAGATCCATATGCCTTCACCCACTGCAGAACAAGAAAAGGACTCCCCACGGCATACAGAATAGTGCACAGCCCAATGCACTTGGTCGGAGACATATTACCAAAAGGATGCTACGGTACTCTCCGGTGTGAACCTGGCTTAGTGGCTTGCCAAAGGAGGGACGATAGAGGTAGGGAGTTACTTCTGACTTTGTCACATAAGGAGTGCACTCTCTGCAGATTTAGCTTCCACCTAATGGTCGACAGTCTCAAGAGGGGGATAGCCGAATATGCAGAAATGATGAGACTGCTGGGAAGAGGATTAGTTTTAGGGATTTGGTTTTAGTGTCCTGTTCATCCCTTCATAGTTCAACACGTTTTAATCTTCATAATCACCACTTTCCTCCTAGTCTGGTCCTTTTCTTTCCCCCTCTCTCTGTTGTGTGGATCCACCTATATTCTTTTACTCTTTTTACACCAGATTCTCCAGATCTGATTATTGTTCGCTTAGTCTACTCACTCTCTGGACTTCCCCGCAGCTTGCCATTTTACGCTTTTTGTCGTTTGTCGGTCTAACTAGTAGATTGCCCAGCGAAAAGAAGCTGGCAATTCCTAGCAACACCACCATCCTGGTAAAATTTGTGCATTTCCCCCAAGATGAAAAAATATGCTCGCTTTTGTTGCATTTAGGAAGTCTGCAGCCAGGTGTGGGATGAGTTGTACTGGATTTCAACAAAGATCTAGAACTGTTCCGAAGTAACCAGAAAAGAGCTTTGAGAAATCATGAGGGGTGCACAGACGCGTCAAAAAGTTCATGGATGCAGCATATGCATGTGACATCATTTAACTACGACGTGCACTCAACTTAAAAATATCCAGGAAGTTGCAGACATCGAGATTTACAAATTAAAGCGGGAAGACATAGAAATGAATCTTTCAAATTTAGTCGAGTTTAACTGATAAAAGTTTCGGAAGATGTCAGTCAGGTTTAACTAACAGAAACTGGGTGCCCAATGAATGTTTAACCCGTCATGCATAGCACTTGTCAGTCTACACAGATGGGAACTTCTCGAATACAAGGAAATGCCGAAAAAAAGGCTCCACACAAGGGCTGAAATAAAGAAAAATTACTAGCTGGAGCACACAAAAGATGAAAGTTGAATTCTTTTAACCAAATCTATTATTTTACTGTAAGAATCTTATGGGAGATAAGGGATATCGACTCAGGTGCAATATGTATGTCCCTTAACTTCCTTACTTTCTGAAGAAGATCGGGCCACTGCTAGAGGGTCGCTTCGAGGGAATAAGGAGATTTCTCTAAATTTGGGATATTTTTCGGGAAGAGGAACGCAAGGTGGTTATATCTGCTTAGCAAATTGTCTAGTAGTGTCTGACGGTTGATAATATGTTCTCATTTTTGTACAAGAGGGACGCCAGTTTACAGGCATCATCAACATGATAAATTACATATACGATTAGTAAGCATATTTAGTAATGACAATATATTAAGATACATATTTGTTCATACCTATGTAGGACACATCAGTTTTACAGGCTGGATAAGTATTATTTAAATTACATAAATTTGGTTTTTGGTTAAATAACATGGTTGCTGTCGTTTTTGACTCTGGTTTGTTGGAACAATGTGATAACTAGCCATTCAATGGAGCACATCAAGAAATATAGAAATATTGTCTTCGCATTAACAAAAATAAAACCAAGTATGTTTTGGATGGATTACAGATACTTAGGAAAAATTGAAGCTTGTAGTCATTTCCCTCATATAGTAATGAAATGCATCTTATAATAATGTATTCTCACATTATGCACATGAGGGACTCAAGTTAACAGGCGTTATCAACATGTTAATAATGTATACATGGAGTAAGCATGTTTAAAATTTTGCACTGACACAAGATATGTATATATACAAGGGAAGGTAATGGAATAATGACGGTAAGCACACTTTGCACAAGTTAGAACAATTTATATGATATGATTTCATCACCAAAGCACCTGATCGAGAGAGCCAGGTATCTGCGTTGTTGAAAAATCTCTTTGATTGCATTATTGGTTCTAACAAAGCATATCATGAATTCAAGAGTGCCTTTATAACATCCACAATAATCGTGAGGTCGTAGTCCGTTATTGTACCGTTTTAATGACAGTGTGAGCGATCACAGAATCTCTTCAACCCATGCGAATCCCAAACACTAGCCTTCGATAGTGAACTTGTTTGTTTGTGACGACTAGATCATATTGTAGACTGCTGGGTTTCCGGGGAACAAGAATGCTGTTGCTGGATCGTGGTGTGACCGTGTTTCTCTCTACACTGTCTTTATATCATAATAATAGATACATCCTTGAGCAGCCATAAGTGTTATATCCTCCCTCCACCAGTTGGTGCTGCGTCATTACCAGCTTGGCCACCAGGTCAATTGGCCCAGGATAAAGAGTCAGCAGTTAGTGTGGCCAGCGAAGGTCTAGTAACATAGATTTGCACACAAAATTTGGAATCGTTACTTATGGTTGGAGTCAACCGAAAGCGAGCTTCAAGCCTCTCAGGAGGTGTAACTAACTGGCGCATCAGAAAAGAAGTAATGTAAAAAATGAGAATATATTATTATTATTAAATGCTTTCTGAGTAAAATTATGTGTTAAAGATTCTCGTGACGTACACAATTTTGGCAGTATGGTGTACCTGCAGTGAGTTGCAGTTGCTACACTTGTATCAGAAAATGCCGTTTGGTTCTGCTAAGTGAGCAACGTCCTGGATTATAACAGGCAGTAATTTCGAAAGCGAAGCGCACTAATTTCCAACTTCCATAATTTCATGCTATTATATTCAGCTTTTTTGTCAATGTGCTTTTATCTTTACTGGTGGGTTGTTTGTGGCATTACATCCCATGTTTTCATTTTGAGTTACAAGGAGTTAGAGCTATGAACGTAGTGCTGCCTGGACCAAACAAAAGAAATGACACTGGTATGAATCGATCGAACAGTGCAATTTCTCCCCAGATAAAGTGGTTGTTAGCATTTCGAATTGGGGCATGCCATATAAATTTTCGGAATTCCATAAAGTATGATAACCAGAAAGCTTCTACAGCTGCTGACTTAGAGCTTTCCTGTGATGAGGATGTAGGATTTTTATAATACCTCCTAATTCTGAGAAAAGCTGATCAAGATATTCTCAATATCCGGTTACCTGGTGCTGTGGTATTTTCAGATAAAATCTTCGTCTTTCCAATGTGCGTAAAATCAGGAGAAAAGCCATTATGTCTTCAAAATTATATGAAGACTGGAACATAGACACAAGCAAAAAGTGGGAAATTAGTTAGATATTTTCAACCGAAATTATGCGTTATAACTCTCTATAACGGATGGAAATATTGGCCTTCACAGATGTAATGAGAGACTTTTAGAAATAACTTTAACATGGCTATACGTGATCCATCATAGCTACCCACCAGCCACTAATGGAACTCGAAGTGTATACGTCATGGGTTGCGGTGGAAGTCTTGAGAAACCATTTTTGTTTATAAATAAGGGGTAAAATGGACTTCTCAACCCAATCTAATGACACAGTGGTATCCCAAATGTCCCAGGAAGATCAGGATAGCGCATTAACAATAGCTAATCACTTCGACAGAGTCTTTCCACAGAATTTGTCACAGGTTGTTGCATTTGCTATAGTCGAACCACAAGAAATCGAATTTTTGGGTTACTGGTGTTTAAAATTTTAGACTAAGTTAAAGGAAAATCCATGAGATACACTGAGTTTTGTGATGGAGAAGATTTGTAGGTGGATGATGTTAATGTAGAAGTGTTCTCTGAGCTAGATGGATTAATTGCGTGGCTTTTGTAGCCACACAAGGTAGTACCTGTGATAGGAATCCTAATGCTTCCTTACGTCAGTGGTTAAATTCAGTGACCACATCTAGAACTGTATTAACAAAACAAGAAACGAATGACAAGAAATCACAAAGTTTAATTGAATTCGGCATAGAGGCACCCGATATGACATGAAGATATATATGCTTTCAGAAAAATCACTTAGGAGAGAAATATATGAGCACAGACACTTATTGGAAAAAAATATGACACAGTTTCAAAGCTGCCTATATTCATTCAGAAGTTTTAGTCTGACAGTCGTATTTATTTATCTGAGCAACTTTTAATTTGCTTCAAGTCAACTTGTGACCTTGTATATTAGCAAACTTTTAAATTTTCGCGTAGGGATGTTTATTGTTTTATAGCAGGTACAACTAATATGTGACCTTTCACTTCATATATTATTCCCGTATTCAGTGAGGTGGCTTTTAGCTTGCATTTAATGTATGCCAGACTGATAACAAAACAATAAATCATGAATTTATTTTAATGCAAAGAAATACCCTATTCGAGTTTTTCGTGGACATAAAAAGAGTGAATAAAAACATGAGAAATTTTCTGTTCAAAAGTGGGCTATTTCTGAAAGTGATATGGGTGAAGTGTGTAATTTGTTAGTCGAGGACATGGGAAAATGGATTAGAGCTTTGGTAATATAGGAAAAATTGGGTTGTAACAGATCTAGTGAACATGAGAAAATTGGGTATTTTGTATTGCATTTCACCTACTTTTTTCCTTATTCTCAAAGATAGGAATTGCTGTTTTTTCCCATATTCTGCTCAATTTTCCCATGTTCATTCTCTGACTGGGACGTATTTTTAGACCGTGATAATAGCTTAGTATGCTGCTTTTTTCTCTAAATTCTCTGATTTATGATTTTTAATCATGCCTCGTTTCATTCGGGCTGGTTTTCCTCTTCATTCACTAGATTTCTGTACACCCCCTGTATATTTTGTTTCCAACAGTAAAAAGTATGGATACAGAGGTGAACACCTTCCGTTGTAGAATAAGGCGTCTTGATGTACCAACGAGTTTTTAGCCAATCCTGGAGGGCCATTTTATTCTATCTGGGCTACTAATGTGTAGTTCATTATCTTTTCCTATCCCGGTCAGTGTTTTTTCTGAAGTGTGCAAAACATGGGATGCAGTCCGTTTCAGAATTGGGGAAATGTTTTATTTGGACGTGTATGGGGATTGTGGGTTAATTGTTAAAAGTGAGGTTTTATTCGATGAAACGGTGGGATATCTGCAAAAGTTGGGAGATCACTTCGTCGAAAATATGGAATAAATCTAGAAAATGTCTCATAATGTTGGATTATATTCACATATCATCCGTCTAAAATTGCCCACATGCCCTATGTACATTCTCTCACTAGGATATCTTTGATATATAGATCTACGAATTAATTTTCAAGTGCTACATGTATCAGAGTATGTAATTCTCGTTAAAAGCTGAAGTTTGAGAGAAAAATATAAACATTGATAGTTTACTGTTGGTTGATAGTGTGAGTAGAATTAATTGTTGCCTTTCTGTTACTGTTTAAACAAGTTGACCTATTTAAAGAGGTGTTATTTTAAGGCCAGAATGTTTCTGTTTTTGGACTATGTATTTCTGACTTTGCCAAGCAACTCTGCATGGTTGAGATGTCAATTCGCAATAGATCGGTCAGTTTCAAGATTATTTTTGTAATTAAGATGAAGGCTGAAATTACTGTACATCATGTACATCAGCAACCTACAGGCTTGACTGTTAATTCTAAATTAATTCTATGCATAGAAAATTTGACAACTTTTGGGAAGTGTTTTTGAATACTAAGGAAGGTCGATATAATTAAAGTTTAAAGTTCTCTCAAAGCTCATATGAAACCTTTGTAAGGCGGTTCTAACTACGATGTTTAGGCATAAGAATTCAATCTGTTTGTAATATTCATTTCATATGAAGAATAAATAATACGGTTATTCAAACCATTGTCTATATTTTTTTCTTTTTGACTTTTACCACCACTCTAAAATCAGATAATTGTAGTCTTTTAGATTAACTGTAAAACATTTTCACTAGCTGTTTATTTCATTATTTTTTCCTCATTTGAATATAACTTCATAAAGACTTCCTCAAATTTTATTCCACCTTTCTTTTTACAGCTAACATTTGCCGTGTTTCCAAAGGAAATTTTTTACCTTACATCTAATAGTTCATAGCCTCATATTTTATGGAAATCGACGTGAAACGACCACCTGTTGACAGGTGAGACAGTATCATTTCATTCTATCCTCAGGTATAATTTGGCCTACATATTCCTTTTTTTACACGGTATTGGATTATTGATACCATGGAATGTGTTTATTAATGCTCGCGAGGTACTGCCTACTCACTATTAACAAATGTTTAGTATTTCGTTGACTACAAGCTAAATACAACAACAAGTTTCAATGCTGATTATCGTATCAATCTTCTGAGTTATTTTGGGTTTGCTGCGCATTTCCCGAACTTGTGTTTCGCTGCATGGAACACATTTTACCAAAGTGGTTCTGGGTAAGTTGAATTATCTTCAATTGTTAAACGTACCCTTTAATGTAATAATACAAATAGTCTGATATTGTAAGCCCACTACTGCTATACACTGTTAAATTTAAGGCTTTCGTAGTTATCTTGTCTGACATTTGCTTTTTCACAAACGTGATTTTGTTGATATTCTTTACTAATAAAACATAGTTGTTATCAACTGAGTGATTAAAGACAGCAAAAGCAGGAAAAGCCGTAATGTGTACCAACAAATATCCTGGTATTGTGAATATAGCTCACTAAATTTTCAAACTACTGCTTGGGGTCATAACATCTTTTATAGGCAATGAAGCAAACTTAAGTGGTCTGCGAAATAGTTCCAGCTATCAGATTAATTAACTAGCAAAAGTTCATAATAATAGAGGGTTATAATGACATGGCATACTCCTGGCGAAAACAGTTGATTTACTCTTTTTCGTAGGATTAAGTTTTTCTTATCTCCATACTTAAATATTTGGTTGGAAAACATTCACTTAGATTGCTTTCTTAATTCATTGTTCAATGATTCCTGTGCTTATATTTTAAAATTTTAATGTATAGGTGGAATGGAGAATGTTGTTGGCGAGTTTATAAGGTTTGAGAATGCGTCAACCAGGAGTCGAATCCTGGACCACGTATGTGGTTGAAGCAATATATATATATATATATGTATATACTCATTTCTTAGAAATTTTTATCCAAATATTTTTTTCTGAATGTTGTATTTAGAAATCAAAATCCACGTTTTCGATTTTTGGCATGTATGATTGTGGAGATCATTGTTCTTGCACTAACTATTATCCTGGCCTTGGTTGACACGTCGAACAGTAAGTGAAAACGTTTTAACTTATTGTAGTTGGTTTCGATGATCAATTAATACTTGCCTCACTCTTTTTATAAAAGACTTCTGATTGTTTATGCTAATATATTTTGTTTCCTTATTCACCAAAGAAGCAAGTGTAGATAATGAAAATACAATCTAGCATTAATACTTAGTGGGCTAAGTTACTTTCCTAGTGTGCCCCATTTCTCACCCTCGATAACTGATCAAGTACTTGCCCTGTTGCATAATACTTCAAGAATATCAGTAAGTAGTTGTTTACTAGCCTTTTGTGTAAGTTGAAAACCATGAGTACCGAAGATATAACGGGTCAAAAACTAAAGTTTGTAATCATTAGGAAAGCCATTAATGAGTGAGCTGATTTTAGTTGTATAGCATTAAAAATTGATATTCTATTGTGAAAAATCAAAGACATTAGGAACTTTTTTGCTGCTTCAAGAATCATCGCTAATACGCTTCACTGTAATTGATGAAATTGACTTTTAAATATCTTTAGGCCGGAATGAAAAACTCTCAATCTCCTAGAACTTAGTTCACTTAACTTTGTCTTCAGCTAAATGAATCTACTGTCCTTTCATTTTTGAGATGTACGGAACTGATGAATGGTTTCATTGCGCATATTCCGCCTTAGCTTCCTGTTTAATTCCAGTTACTTCGTCTCCCAAATTAGTGCACAATTAAATCTCATAAACTTCGATTACTTCGGCCATGAAACGCTCCCGTCCAATCCATCCTGTTAGATGGATTTCTTCTGGATGTGAATAGCAGCAGATAGTGTCTGTTGATGAGTTAAAAAGCGATTCTGTTTTAATGGTTCAGCTTATTCGTTAATTCAGACTAATTTGCTACTTCTTCATTCATTTGCGATACTTTTTTATCACAAAATTATTCTAGGAAAGAATCATAATGTGATAAAAAAGTCGTATCCTTTTAAAAACATTTATTCCCTGATACAAGCGACAAAGGTTAATAAAGCAGGATTTAATGAATCCATCACATTCCTGTAGAAACCTTCATCTGAATACTCTACATACAGAGATATATACATACTGTTAAAATTACATTGGGAGATATATGACTAATAAGTAAATAATCTACATTGAATCAACCATAAAACATGACAGCTGTGAATATTTTTTCCAGTAGATAAGTGGAAGGGAATATGGGAGATTAGAAGTAAGGTTAAATGCATTATGGTTCAATTATATCACTTAGATAAACAATTAATTATCAGGGAATGAACTTGAATATATTTAGAATTGCAAAACTGAATAATATTGATAACAATATGTTAAAACGAGTCAAGATAATTGTATTGATACAGGATCATTTTAAATGAGTCAAGAATAATAGCAAGTAGAATAAAATATAGAACAAAAATATTAACAATAATAATAATGACAGTTAGTAAGTAAGGCTAATCACCATTTCCTTCTGTACACAGAGACCGGGTTTATAAACTCTGATTGCACAAGCATCCTGAATTACAAGCATCTTTCTGTTTTAATTATTGGTTTGTAGGGATTTGGTTGATTGGTTACAGGATTTCATCATGAGCTGACACTGGCTAGAGAACCATTGGAAAACCTGGGAGTACTGGACAGCTGTCTTGTCCTAGTTTGGGACTCTTTAGGAGTACGCACCCACCGGGGTTCGAACCCAGGACCTTCTGATTACAAGGCAAGCTCGTATACCATTAAGCCACTGGGACCCGATCCAATGGCCCATGGTATACGAGCTCGCCTTGTAACCAGAAGGTCCTGGGTTCGAACCCCGGTGGGTGCGTACTCCTAAAGAGTCCCAAACTAGGACAAGACAGCTGTCCAGTACTCCCAGGTTTTCCAATGGTTCTCTAACCAATGTCAGCTCATGATGAAATCCTGTAACCAATCTTTCTGTTTGTTTGTCTGCCTACCACAGTGAATAACTTGACAGCGTCAATATTATGTCCGTGGTCCACGAGGTGCTTTGTTACTGAACTTTTCGGAACTTTGACTTCATCTGTTTTCAACCACTTTGACAAAAGTTCCACCATTTGAATAGACAATCGCCTTTCTATGCGACCTATGTATTTGTTTCCACAAACACACTCAAGCTGATGTATGCAACTTGAAGTGTCAAGGATTGGTGACTGGTCTTTCCCAGATTGTTGAAGCACTCGCTTGTTGGTGTTAAGGAACACGAGTTTTGCAGCTTAATAGATTTTTCTGATAGGTTTATCAAATCTTTGTTTGACTACTTCTTGTACGTCATCTCCTTTAAATGGTAAATTAAGATATACAGCTTCTTTTGAAACTATTGGGATAGTTTTATCTTTTTTTCTGCGGAAATGAATTTACGCTTCCCTGTTCACGTAAAACTTACAATGTTGCATAAGTCTTCTAAGAAAATTTTCATAATAATCCTACTGACTTTTATAACGGCTGATATTCGAATAAGGTTAATCTCTGCAAGTGGTGATTTTTTCCTTTAAAAGTTTGTATTTGTCGATGTTCCCACTTCGTATTTTATGTATTTCCTTTTCAAGTAGTGGGCATTAAAAAGAATATCGAAAAGTTTTGTTCATTTAGGAATGTAATTATCATTGATATACAATAGCTGCTGGAAAGTTTTTCATGTTAAGATTCGTTTTCTTGTATAGATTGTGCAACTAGCTTCAGTTTGATTTCGACTTATCTAACTTGGATACATAATAAGTTCATATCTAAAGACTGAATGTAGTCTGAAGTGTATCTATTTTATTCATTCGTGACTGAATTCACTAGTTGATTTATAGATGTGATCACATTACCTACATTTAGTTATCTTTCTTTGGAGAAAAATCTAACTGATATCATAAAAGTCAGTTCTTCTATATGGGTCAGAAACTTGGTGTATCACGGAAAACATTTCCAACAGCCAGTTGCAGACCTTTATCATCAGTTGCTTTCTCTCTATATTGAAGATCTACTGGTCAGAAAGGATTAGGAGCAGGAATCTCTCGGAACGAACCAAGCAAGAACCTATCGTTCAACAAATACGTAGGACAAAATGGAGATGGATTAGGCACACGTTGAGGAGGCCGTCGAATAACATCACGCGCCAGGCCCTCGAGTGGAATCCCACTGGGAAGCTACTAGTGACATGGAGGAGATCATGCGAAGAGGAGATGAGAGATTATGGTCAGTAGTCGACCCAGCTGAAGAAGACGGAAGAAAATCGAACAAATCCCTATGTTTCACTCGAAACCCAGTGGAATAATAATAATAGTAAAATAAAAAACTTCTGAGTTCTTTGCAAACTAATTCATTATCTTATATTTATTAGCATTATTGTAAGCGATGAACTGTAGTTAGACCGTTATTCACACTACCTGACCGTACGATAAATTCTGCATACATTCCGATATAGAATAACACAGTACTAAACTGCAGAGATTCTACGCTTATAAAGATTTCTCACAATTTATAGATACTTTTTCCATCAAATTATTATCAGGTTATCTGAATGTAAAATTCACAATTTACGAATTATGGAAGAATATCGATAAGGGGTTTCTATAGCCGACTTGACAGAGTGTATATTTTCATAGAATAAGCCAGTTTATTTCTGGGGTAGATTGTAATGCCAACACCTTTGACAATCAATAGGGCACGAACAGTGCGGTGGATAATAATTCACATATAACTGTTTTACAAGAATTATTTACTATTAATGCGATTTCGATTTTTTCATTGACTGATTTGACGGAAATGCTCGGCACCTATTGACATGCCGGTTCCTTGTGCGGATGCTTCGACTGACATCCGTTGCAAAAGAGTGGGCTCTTGTGGCCCAAGTGAACTAACGGGTAACGCTTTGGAATTTGAAACGATGGCTGTTGGGTTGCAGTCTCAGTAGGAACGTTGTAGCCTAGCGTAGAATGCAGGTACATCCAGATGATGAGTTCTAGATAGGACGAAATGTGCATCTTGGATTCCACTGCTAGTCACTATTCACCATGCTTCATACTTCATGCTTTACAAGAAACCCGTAAAGTTTCGGTAAACAACACGTATTACTTTTGGATATCCAAAACTACTTTCAAGTGTATAGACTGTAAATTGTTTTTATTTCATATGTATGAAAGATTGAAGAGATCAATACAATTTAATATTTATTCATTTATTTTATTTTTAGTCCCTGGGACGTTTTGCTTCATCACGATTATGAGTGTTGTAGTCATAAATTGTAAGTAAAAATGTATCTAATTTGTATGCTTTGATCGAGGGATTTGTTGACTGAGATTTTCTGAACATAAAAATGTGCAAACTGTCATATAATTTTTTTTCTGAATGTCTCACTTAAGGTTATAACGAAGATGAAATGTTTATCACTTGAATCAAAGAATAAAGAGTTTCCTGTAGTGACAACGATAGGTATTATTTATCACCATATGTGCGTCGGTGGCACAACGGAAGGACGCTCACCAACCACGCCTCACGTGGTTCGGGGTTCGATCCCCGGCCGACGCACTCCTTTACCTTGTTAAACCAGCAATACGACTGGTAAAAAGGGAAGGTTGGACAAGAGGCCAGAGACCCCATACAATAACAATAAACACCACTGCTACTGAAACTTTAACGCCTCTAGCTTGAAGCCCTATGTTCCACTGGGGAACGTGAAGGAATAAAAAAAAATTATCATATGATCTCTAGGGTAATTAGTATTCCGAATTAATTGGTATACTGTTGATATCATTTGGATATTAATTATCAATTTCTTGCTTGTGATTAAATTATTTTCGGTCAAAATGAAGTAACAAAGTCGTAAATGTCCAGTTGTGTCCGGTATTGTCACAAAACCTTGAATTCAAGTCCCCCACTACCAACCTGAATAGGTCTTGCCGATGAATTCTCTGAATTCGCTCCTAAACAATGAATCCTGAACTCTAATCTTTATCGAGACATGACTTATATTAAGATACCAGATACGGTATGCAACAGGGAAGTGAAACTATGAGGCTTCAAATACTATCAGCTCTACGCTGACACCTAAATCTACTTATATTGCCCCGCAGTGGTAGAGAAAATATTGTTAGAATTGAAAGCTACACTGGTTCCCGTGTTGCAACCGGTTTGGAACCAATTATTTCTATAATGGTGTGGCTGGGAGGTTTTTGACTGGTTTCTAACTGAATGATAACCTTTTCTATAAAACACAGTCCGTATAAAGGAACAGTTGATAGTTAGGACGGTGGATTTAAAATTTGCTTCAAATGTAAGGCGCGTTATCTGGGTTCAGTTAATGTTGATTAAATCTTGAAGCTGGTTGAAAAGATCGTTTCGAAAAGTTATGCCTAAAAAGTATCCAAATATTTCCTTCCATCGTTATATATATTACTTGGTGGATGATGGTGACCAGTGGTAGAATCCAGGATGCACATTTTGTCGTGTTTGGGACTCGTCATCTGGATGTACCCGCAATCCCCAGTAAAGTGACAGTGCTGCTACTGAAATTCGAATTCAGCGTCCATCGTTTCAAATACCAAAGGTCGATTTTATTTCATATTATTTAATCTACATACCTACATTACTCACTGCATATTATAGTTTTAAAATTAGTCATATTTTAAGGAAAACGAAAACTCTTATATTCTTTCTCTCAAGTAGATGCTTGGATGGCTAACTGAACGGTTTGTGAAATGTGTATATAGTTTTGCAGAACACATAGAACAACCGTCATTTTTTGAATTCTTCTGATTGCATGCACAGTCATGTGTTCAGATGAAGCGGAACAGTTATCTGGAAAGTAGTAATTCCAGTGAATAATTACTTGCAATCACGTTCAGATTGTAAATCACACATAATTAATTCTATCATCTCTCTCAATTAAGCATACTAACTGTTAGCCTTTTGTAATCAGTTGTAAAATATTTTACACTTGAACGATCGTCAATTTAATTAAAGATACTCTAATTGCTTAAAAACCACTTCCCTTTTAATGGGATTAGTCATAAATCCACTTTACAAAAGATATCATCGAGTTTAGGAGTCACTCAGTGGGAAGCCTTGGGCACCCTAGGTAACATATTGATCGGCACTCATCTACAGCCTTGCGAGAATTGTTCTCCCCATGTTTGAACTTGGCTCACTTTCTGTCGAAGGCAGAAAGTATAAAAAGTTAGATAGACAAAGACTAATTTCCTGTAGGAGTAAACTATATGCGCCAAGTGGTAACTGGATGATAGAGTTGTCTTTCTCTTGTAAGCGTATTTTTTTCTCTAAGTCGATTTGATGTGAAATTTGGTCACGCAACTAAATGACACGCCAATACTCCGTGCTGTCATTCAATTTTTAGTGTTTGTAGAAGTCACTTGATAAGAAATTTGTACGTCTCATCAGTTATCACCTAGAGAGTGTAACTGATTCTTCTGAAAAGTGACCGCCTAAAAAGAGCGAATAAATTTCCCGGTGTGTAATTGACTATAATGAAATTTAAAGACACCTGCACGTTAGTTTACAAGCATATCGTGACGAAGTAACTGGATACCAACCACGAATATATCACACCATTTAGGTGAATAAACAAAACACATTTAGGCGCTTTACGTCACATAACGTTTCAAAAATAGTTAACATTTCATTACGCAATTAATATACATAGTGTGATTTAGGCAGAATTATTTTTACTTGGGTTTTATTCTAATAAAATAATGTTTATTATTGTTTTGTCTGTGATTTGCTTTTGAATATCTCCGTAACAATAATACGACAGCACTGTATTTCTGAATCACCCTTTCCGTTTATGTTTGAATTCATGCAGTTCGAAGTGATAATTTCGCTAGAGTCTCCTTTAGAAACCGAGACGATACAATACAATACGTGATCTGTTTGGTATCAGAAAACTAAGCGTAAATGCATAAAACTATAAGTTTATTTTAAATATATTTTTTGTGCGTTGAAGTTTCTTTAGCAGTTTGTTAGCTTGTGTGGTGTAGGGTCGCTAGCCGCACGCCCAACCCTCTTTCCTTACCCGGCCTTGGGACTGGCTGGAAAACTAGCAAGCTAGTTAACTAGCCGAGGTTATGTATGTAAAGGTACATATAACTATATATTACTTAATTACTGAGATGAGTAGGTGTATGCCACTCTCATGAATCAGTGACTCTCGGTAGCTAGATCGAAATTGCGCGGTCTGAACTGATTCGGCTCTCTGAGATGAATCGGTAAATCGGTAAAACCGCTCGACTCCAAACTGGTTGTCTGGTTGTCTGGTGTTTAGATCACTTCTATCTGACTAGCAGACATCCCTCGTTTATATGAGTGGCATACAACTACTCATGTCAGTTTATCAGTAGTATATAGTTTTTTGTATATTTAAGTATGCTTTTTTGCATTTGCTTACAAACTGTTTGGTTTTAAACTGTGTTCTTCAGGGATGAATATTTCAGAGGTTATGTTTGAAAATCGAATCTCAGTATTTTAAATAAAACTAAAATGTAATTCACCGGTTTGTGTAATGATATGGCTAAATATCTCAACTATAGGAGCTTACATTCTCCCAACAAATAAATGGGATAATATTTTCCTCCACTTATCTGTATAATTGCTGAAGAACTTCTTATTTATACAGTGTGAGTACCGTTGAACCTTGACTACTTGTTAAGCAAACTGAATTGTGGCCCAAGTGGTCTAGTGGATAACGCTTTAGCGTTTGAAACTATGGGCACTGGGTTCGAGCGTCAGTGGTGCGAATATCATCACTCACTGGGGAATAATGCAGTTACGTCCGGGTGACGATTCCCAAATAGGACGAAATGCGCGTTGTCCTGGATTCCACTGCTAGTCACCATCCACCAATAAACTTCAGACTGAATTGGTTTAAACAACAGACGACCGCTTGGCTATTTTGTGATTCAGCTTATCATAGGTGTACTTGGAGTGACTCAACTCAGGAAGTAAAATCGTCTCAGACCAGACCATTTGAATGTGTATGTAGCGATAAAACCAACTCATTCGGGTCTAAGTGCAGAGAACTGATCGTTATATCCTACTGTGTAACTGTCTGAAGCTTCCTTGAGAAACGCACAGTTGCAAAATGCTCCAAAAGCAGCAGCAGAAAGACAATTGTGTGTGATTTGAGTCTATGCGCGGTTCTATTGAGCAACAATATTAACATGAAAAACTCAGAACTACTTCAGCAGCGTCGTTAGGCAGTTCTACAAGCAATGTAAGTTTCTAAGCGCAAAACAAGCACCGTAGAACAAAACTAGTCAACCAACCAATCGAGTAGAATATTTCCAGCAAGGTGGGATCAAAAATTCTGTCCACAAGAATCACACAACCATACTTCCCGCAGACAGCCTAAGGTCACGGTGACCTTCATTCATGCAAACAAATCACATCGTAAAATAACACATCAATGTACTGCACAACTGCAAAGAGAAGCATTAAGAGAAGAGGTTAAACAAGGACAAATACAAATAATAAGGACCAAGTCAACATGTGATGTACAAATGTCGAAATAATGATGTACAGTTTAGGAGAAAAACGGATAATAATTACAAAGTTAGTTGCAACATCAAAATAAGCATAAATATTTTGATCAGATCACCCTGGAAGGATTTTACCAAAACAATTTTTCCTATTACACTGTATTTCCCTTCTTTGTTGATCACCACTTATGGTATCATTAGAGTTGAATGTTTTGATCTGAATGTTTTGGACTTCTAGAGATAAAATTGTACAGAAACCTTAACATCTAAATGGAAATAACTAATTGTATTCTTTGTGTACATATTTGTACGAACTGATTAGGATTAAATATTATGTGGACACAATAGTAATTGTTTATGAAATAATAGAGAAATAATTGTTTATCAAAATGTAACCTACCAATAAGCAACAGCTAAGTTAATTGTTTACAAAAAGACAGAATATAAATTTGATTTAGTTGTGTTCTCTGAACTGGATGATTTATTTGCAAAGCTTTCATTACCCTACTAGGCAACATCTTCAGTACATACTTCAATCTGAAGTGAGCTTTTAGATTTATTGATATTAGTTTAAAATTTGGGCACTGTGGTAGAATATAACTCAATTATAGATAAGATTTTATTTTGATAAATCACAAAGTGGTGTTATACAGCAATATTAACTGATTATGCTTCAAGCACAAACTATTGCTCATAATCATATCAAGTCACTCACACAACTTTCTTGCTTCATTTAAATACATGAGTGGAATTG